GACTCGAATAAGTGAAATCGCTCGATCAGAAAGATAAGAAACGTATCTTTTGGCCCATGAGGGAGATCCGGATAGAAGACCAGAGTCGAATAAGCAATTCGAGAGGTATGAGTTACAAGGTAAACAGGTGTAATGACACCACATCAAATTCGCCAAAAGGTCACACATGTTGAGTAGTGGAATATAAACAAGTCAGAAGTTGTGATAGGGCAAGTGTTGGGCAGGATGGTAGGGAATAGATTGAGGAGCCAAGACAGAAAGGGGATGGGTAGCACAACCGTTTCTGCAGAAATTTGGTCAAAGGATTGATTTCATTTGTCCCTTTGACGAGTCGTAGCTTGGTGCTGAGAATGAAAAGACTCATTGACGATGCCTGGAAAAGTCTGGGAATCTACCAGGCCCATTGTCCGACGCTGAGAATTATGCTAACTACTACAGCAGAGGACTTCTGACAAGTTATATCCAACTAAGTGATTCTGACAACACGATCAAGTTAAGAAAATCGAGTCATCCCAATTCAATACATTGAAAGGAGACTGCAACCATATGGAAGGCCACAATATCCTGGTCGTTATATCTTCAAATAAAGGCATTACTGTAGCAGCTTCACATGATGGCCTATTATGCTAAATGAAGAAAGCCTTAGTTAATCTGACCTTCTCGCATGATTCATAGGAGTAATCAATAAGGTATTCTTATCCCTTCCTGAATAGTTGAATAGGCTCTGAAAACGAAGCCCCGAGTTTATGATTTTTTGGGTTTATAATAAGGCGTAACTTAAGCCAAACTTAAAAGTAAACTCATATTGTATAAATGTAAAATTTGGAATCTATTATAATTTGAGCAAGCTAAGAGAGTCAAAAGTTGTTTTATCTTATTTTTGAAACTTGGTCATATTGGTAGGAAGACTTAGAGGAACGCAACTAGCCCGAAGTCAATTGTATGCATGATCATTTACTAAGTGGGAATGCGGATGTGGTACATTCCCAGAAGTTTCGCCGGCATCGTAGTCGGCATCGTCAGTGAGTCTCGCCATTCCTATCACCACACAACAACTCGTCAAAGAGACAAGTGAAGCCGAACCTTTGACCAAACATGTGCTAAACAGTTGTGGTATCTCCCATTCTGCCCTGGGCTATTCACATTTCCTATATCCTCCTATCACGTCTTCACTGTTACAATTTTTGCCGTTCTTATTTAGATGTATGTGGTGTGCTCATTAAAACGACAGTCATGACAACCCTTTACACTCCACGCTGTCGTTCTCACACCCTTGATCCTTGTGCTGGGACTGTGGATCAGAGTCTCCCATATTGTTACGCCGTAGTCCTTCCTAGGTCTTATCAGAGTCTCTGTCTTGCCCCGTAGAATCCGTCTGCTATCGCCCTCTTTTAAGTATTTCACTCGACCTCCACCCCATCTGTGCTACTCGAGGCGTTATTTCCCACATTCTGTGTCTGATTGACTAATTCGAGGCTAAGGCCACTGAGTAAGTCTCAGGGTCAAGCCTTTGCTATATGGACCGCGTCTATGCTAAAATATTCGTGTGAAAGTAGAGTTTCGAGACTACCAGTAAATCAGTGTAATGAGATGTATTCACTCTATTTCGTCTAAGGTGATG